CTTATAGATGAGTAAACATAGGTTGTGAAGTGACAGCTTCTGATCACAAAGTAAGTCATTAAAAGTAACCTACCTAGGATTCAAAAGTTATTGAACTTTTCCTTCGTGGTCACACCACAAACCATAAAAAATGTGTGGTGTGCCATCTGAAATAAATCAGCCTTCACTGGTACTGTAAATAGTTTTTTCTAGACCATTAGCCAAACAGAAATCTCATTAGTTTATTAAACATACATCAGCCACAATCCTGTTTACTTAAGACTCAAAGAGAATATGCCAATCTCCATGAAATTGGGTGAAATCTTAGATGCTCTCTTGTCTAATGCTCCCTCAGAGCAGGAAGTACTCTAAAACCATATTGGAAAGTTGGTCAGTTCCCACTGAATATATTTCAGTGATTGGATTCACTCTACTTTAAGAAATAACTTCTTCAACTTTGACAGTAATATTGGCAATGGAAATTCTAAACCTAAATCAAAATTTGCTTCCTCAGATTTTGACCCATTTGTTTTTTGTTTTTTAATTTAAAAAAACAGAGATGAGGTCTTCCTATGTTGCCCAGGCTGGTCTCGAACCCCTAGGCTCAAGCAGTCCACCAGCCTCAATCTCTCAAAGTGTAGGGATTACAGGTGTGAGCCACCCTACCCAGCCAGACCCATTTGTTTTTGTTCTACCAAATGAAGCTACACAGTTCACCCCCTTTCCTGCTTTAGCACCTGTGGTACATGTAGACAGCCATCACATCTCCCTAAACTCTTTCCAGGCTAGTTGTGTCCAGCTGCTCCAGAATTTCTTATAGGACTGTTTTCCAATTTCTTTCTTTTTTTCTTTTTTTTGAGTTGGAGTCTCACTCTGTCACCCAGACTGGAGTGCAGTGGTCGCTCCCGGCCACCGCAGCCTCGACCTGCTGGGCTCCGGCGATCCTTCCGCCTCAGCCTTCCAAGTAGCTGGAATTACAGGCATGCGCTACCACGCCCGGCTGATTTTTTGATTTATTGTAGAGATGAGGTCTCGCTGCTCAGGCGGGTCTCGAACCCACGGGTTCAGGCAATCCACTCACCTCACCCTCCCAAAGGCGCGGGATTACAGGCTGAGCCACCAATTTCTTATTGGATAGTTAATGTTCCTGCTGAAACAGGATTCATGAAATGGCTCCTGTGTCCCAAAGCCATCTGAATTTTGTAGATTACAGTGTAACCATGGCTACCTCCACACTGTTATCAATGCAGCCTCGGTCTGTGCACTTTAGTTGTATTTTTAAGCATTCTGGTCACACATTTGATTGCAACTGAGTGTGTGTTAAGTTACAATTTTGAGTCATTGACATTAACTTCCATCACATTACGTCTCTTTCACTCTAGCTTTCCATCCATCACAGGTTTCTCTGCCTTGGCTCAATCTGTCGCCCTGACACAGGTTGCTCTCTGCACAGCTATCCTTTAAGCTCTGTACAACGTGCACACCCGATAAGTGGTTTCTTGTGTTTTCAACCAAGTCATGAATCAACAACTCTGAATAGGTCAGGGACCCGGACCAAGACCTTCAATCCACCACCGGGGTCCTCGGTCCCGGCAGATAGATAATGACGTACGGAGGACACATATCAAATAGCTCCGCTTGGATAAACTCCTAAAGAATTTTGCAACCAGAAAATCTAGCAGACGTTATTCTAATTTCAGCAGATATTCAAGTTTTGTGTCACATCATTTAGATTTTTATTTTTAAATTTCTTTGGGGCGGGCAGTTCAAGAACACCATACATTTTTCATGATTAGAGCTGCTCAGAGGGCTATAAAGCAATAATTCCATGAATTAGTAATTATCATCCCCACGGGCAGATTTGAAAATAAGCCTTGGTGAGCCAGTCACATAATTAAGCTGACACAGAGTGGCAGGTCTAGAACCAGGGTTCCACATGTTCTGACTAGTTCTAAATGGCCATTTCTATTAACAAAATGACTTGTTCTATTAACTGAACAGTTAATAGAACACTCTCCATCACTATCATATCATACCCAGGGAGATATCCCCTTCTTGAGTCTGTGTGGCGTCCTCTCATAATACCACCATCTCATTTTCCTTCTGCTTTTACCATCATTTCACAATCAAAACCCACATGCTTCTCATTCAACCAGAAAAAGAACATGAAAGTGCCTGAACACATCTGTTGACATAAAATAGCTCACCTGCATATTCAGACACACACAGAAAACTGTTTCTAGCACGTGAAAAATCTAACAATGCCACTGTGTAGGACACATGATCCAAGGCAGCATTTTAGCAGAGCCATCTTTAATTAGTGACATCAACACTACAGACAGTTCAGCTCTCCCTACAGTCTCTTTATCAAGCAAATCGGCATAGGATAATAGCGAGGATGTGGGATTTTAGTCCGAAAAAGAGAACCTGCATTTCTCCCCCAACGTTTGCTAGTTTCCAAGAGACTATGCCGGGACCCCTGACCTCACTCTGCTCTCTCCTCAAGTAGTCTTTTCCAAAGCAATGGTGCCATTTCCCAAACTATAAGTCAGGCGCTTACTAACGCATTTCTAATGTGTAGGTCTCCCCTTGAGCTTGAGCACTGTGCGTCCCACTTCCCTCAAAATTCCCTTACGAGCTCTCTCAGGCCTTTCACACCCAGCATGGCCCAAACTCAACTCACTATCTCATCCCTGTTCTCCAGTGATCCTAATTTTGATAGAGTAGGCGGCTTATGCCTGCTTCAGGGCTGTAGGAGAGTTCCAAGGTCACTGATGCCTGCAGCAGCTGGTGCAAAACCACGTGTGCAAAACCATGAGGCAAGCGGCCTCGCTGTAGGAAACTTCACACCCACCTAAATGCTATAGACGCTTATCAGGTACACCTGCGGCACTGTAGTCCTTTATCCAGGATGCTGGCGGTTAAGAGCCAGCCACCGAGGCAAGATTAGCTTAGAGACCCCCCTGGAGCATGTGCATCAATAGCTGAGGTTGACCTAAGAGGACCATGACTTACTTTTACCTTCATTATATGCTCATTATAATATCATTTACATTGTGGTTTTATAAATTTCCACCCATCAGGGTGCCCCGACAGTTGGTATGACTCTATAAAGCCTGAAACTCCCCAACCTGACATGAGGAAGGAGTAGAGAAGACCCGGCCCTAAGACCACCAATTTCTAGGAAAAGCCCACCCAAACCCATTCCTCAACACTCCTAAGAGTAAAAGATGGAGCTGCCCAATAGTTGGGGGCAAAAACAACAGATTTCTGTAGACTGTTTCTGCCCACTCCCCTCTCTGGGGAGTGGACTCTTCTTTGTTTAATAAAGCTACATGCTTTTCCAGCTCCTCTGTGTGCCTGTTTGGGAATTCATTCCAAACGTGAGCACAAGAACCTGTGACCAACCTTCTCACACTGGGAGCAGCACCCCACCCCTCCTCCTGGCAACAATTTCAGTCCCCACTACCCACCAGATATCCCTACCAGAAACTTGGGAAACATCCTGGGTTCTACCTTGGGCATTCCTCACAACAAGTCTCTACATCCTGCAGTTCAGCAGCCACCAACCTTTTTGGCATCAGGGACCAGTTTTTTGTGCAAGACAATTTTTCCGCTGGGGGTTGGGGTGGGGAATGGAGTGTGGGAGGAAGGGGATCATCGGGCCATCGGGCATCAGATGCTCATAAGGAGGGCCAACCTACATCCCTTACATGTGCAGTTCACAATAGGGCTCGATCCTATGAGAATCTAATGCCCCCCTAATCTGACACAAGGCAGAGCTCCGCTTACCCCTGCTCACCTCCTGCTGTGTGGCCCGGTTCCTAACAGGCCACAGACCAGTACCAGTCTGGTCCTGGGGTTGGGGACCCCTGCTGTAGTTCCAATTAAAACACAATCTTCAACGCTGTCCTCCTACCTTTGTTCCTACTGTGACCTTCCTAGCTCACACCCCACACTTTCCCCCTGAATACAGCTAAAGCTATTTAACTGGTTCCCCCTCTACTCTTTTTTATAAAACCACAATGTAAATGATATTATAATGAGCATATAATGAAGGTAAAAGTAAGTCATGGTCCTCTTAGGTCAACCTCAGCTATTGATGCACATGCTCCAGGGGGTCTCTAAGCTAATCTTGCCTCGGTGGCTGGCTCTTAACCGCCAGCATCCTGGATAAAGGACTACAGTGCCGCAGGTGTACCTGATAAGCGTCTATAGCATTTAGGTAGGTGTGAAGTTTCCTAGAGCGAGGCCGCTTGCCTCATGGTTTTGCACACGTGATTTTGCACCAGCTGCTGCAGGTATCAGTGAGCTTGCAGCTCTCCTACAAGTTGCAGTTCACCACAAACAGGGAGATCTTTCCACAATCTAGAGCTTTTTCTGTGTTAACTCGCTTAGAATCCAAGCCTCCAGCTGCATCCACATTGCTTCAAAGGGCACGATTTCATTCTTTTAGGTGGCTGCTTAGTATTCCATGGTGTATATATCCCACATTTTCTTTATCTAGTCCACCAATGATGGGCACCTAGGTTGGCTCCATGTTTTTGCTATTGTGAACAGTGATGCAATAAACATATGAGTGCAGGTGTCTTTTTGGTAGAACGATTTATGTTCCTTTATGCAATATATCCATATGACAAATCTGCACACATGCCCCCTGAATCTAAAGTAAAATAAATCTAAAAAAATCCCCAATCTTATCATGTTACTCCCTTGCTTAAAATCATTCTATTTCTTCCCCTAGAAAAAAGTTCCAATTTCCTCCTGTGCGTTTTAGGGCTTTCGAGCCTCATCTTCAGCCACTCCCTCGCTTCCAACCCTAGTAGATGTCTCTCGTGTCTTTAAACTCACCATGCTCTTGAATGGTGTGCAGCTTACAGGGCTCTTCTTGCGTTTATAGCCTTAGAATGCAGTGGCGGGTGTATGGAATTACTTCCACTGCAGTACAAAGAGTACTGGAGACCACTCCACCCAGATTCAGGGAAGGGCTGGAAGGGCAGGGGAGGGAACGAGGTACCAACCTGAATGAGCATCCAGCTAAACTGGCACAGGTACAGGTAATGCGTGACAGCAGCCACCGCTGAGCAGCTCTCCTCTGTGAGTTGGGGACTGGCGTACGCCGATGCCAAAAACATGATCTATAAGAAACAGATACTTAACGTATTTATTTATGTACTTATACATTTATTTATTGAGTTGGGGTCTCACTCTGTCACCCCGGCTGGAGTGCCGTGGCACGATCATGGCTCATTGCAGCGTTGACCACCTGTGCTCAAGTGAACCTTCCACCTCGGCCTTCTAAAGTATTGGTATTACAGTTGGTATTACGTGAGCCATCGTGCCTGGCTTCTCTTTCTTTTTAAAACCAGCACACATCCTTCTAATATCTCTGTCATTTGCTTATTTATTATTTATTTTTGGTTATTGTTAGACTGACCTACTAGAGTGTAAATTCCCACAAAGACAGGATAGGACAGTTGGCTGCTTTACTCACTGATGTACCCCAAGCACCAAGTCTGACACAATGAATACTCGCTGAGTAAATGACCAAACAGAGCAAAACACTCTTCATGATTTCTTTCTATCACTCTGCATTTTCTCCAATAAACGATGACTGTGTCAAATTTTGCAATTAAGATTGTAAACGGCAAGGGGAAACTTGGAGCGATAATATTGTGCCACAGCCTCTCAACGAATAAACTGTCTTTCCCTGAAGGACAAGGTCAAGTTTGTTACTATATTTTCAGAGGCTATCGTGGTGCCTGGACTACAGAAGTGCTCATTAAGTGTTTGTTCAAAGATTGAATGATAGATTCCCAAAAGACAGAGGGGTGTTGCCAGGAGAAAACCTGCTGACTTATACCTCAAAACCTTTCAACTTTTAACGAGGAAACATGAATGACTTTAATAAAGCTGCTTGCATTTCTTTTAAACAAGTGAATCATGTGCTCAAAAACAAATCAGAACAATAGGACAAAATGTTGTTTCAATTTTCAAATGAAATATAATCCCCTTGTCCCAAGAGTACGTCTATCAACTGCCCTTGAAAATTTCTGCTCATGGGTCCTAAGGCAGTGGTGAATTCGATATGCAGTGGAGACCTTGAATGTTTCCAGCATCTTGATTTCATAATGAAAGACGCACCTTAACCCACTTCTTTAGTCAATTACATAAGACCCAACATGCTAATTATTAATAATGGTTTATTATTGATAAGTATAATTACCAATGATTTACTATCATCAAAAATAATTGTTAACAGTTGTGAATTAATAAATTTACAATAGTATATGTCTCATGCCATGCTGAAGTTTATTCTTCCTACCTGGGAATTGTTTACTGAGACCTTTCTGTACCCAATCAAGTATAGAAGAAAAAGAAAAGTCTATTTTTTAAAACCACAGGCACTGCACTAGTCATTTTCCCCTTCTAGGCCTAATTCCCTCATCAGTAATAACAGGAAGTTGGGAAAAACAAAAAACAGAACAAACACACACACACAAAAACAACTCTAATATCTCTATCTACTCCAAGATTCCAGAATTATTTTTAAAATGAGAAGTACCTGGATTCAATTTTCTGCTTATTTAGCCCCAGAACTGGAGTATTTATAATATACATCATTAAAAAAGACAAGTATCAGCATTTAAAGCAGAAACTGGAAATTTATGTCCCATTATTTCCTAACTATCCGGTACAGATGAGTTCCCTGAATAAAATAAAGTCCACGGATTCACCTTTCTAGAACATATCACAAAATAGCTTTTGAATTATTAAAGCTTATTTTTAAAACATGTTTAGATTTTCTGAGACTTTGGCTTCTAGCTTTACTATTTATTCTTACCTTTAATACAGATCACACATTTAACTTTTCTAAATTCCACAATTATTCCTTGAACACCTGCTATGTACTACGCACCAAAACCATGACATAAAAGGCCTTAGAAGCATAGAACTGTGTGGTTCCGCGAAAGAAAAAAAAAAAAAAGATAAAGAAAACAGTAATCATTTTAACATTTGATGTTCTTTCTTTTTACAAAGTGGCATCTACTGCCATAAAGTCTTTATGAATACAAGCCTCTCCAATTCAGATTCTATGATATGGATTGTGCTGATGTTTATTTGGCAGTTTTGTTCTAATCAACCTAAACAAATTGTTAGGTAAAATAACAAAGTAGTCCAAATTGTAATTGAATATGTTTAGCTTTAAGCATTTTATAAAATTATTTACAAATCGTATGCTAACTTAAATAATTCGTTTTTTATCTGTATTTTTTCTTTGAAGCAGTTAAGTCAGTATAAGCTATTGGTTAAGACTGTATTTACAGCCGGGCTTGGTGGCTCAGCCTGTAATCCCGCGCCTTTGGGAGGCTGAGGTGAATGGATTGCCTGAGCCCGCGGGTTCGAGACCCGCCTGGGCAGCAAGACCTCATCTCTACAATAAATCATAACATCAGCCGGGCTTGGTAGCGTGTGCCTGTAATTCCGGCTACTCGGAAGGCTGAGGCGGAAGGATCGCCGGAGCCCAGCAGGTCCGAGGCTGCGGTGGCCGGGAGCGGCCACTGCACTCCAGTCTGGGCGACAGAGTGAGACTCCAACCCAAAAAAAAACAAACAAAAAAACCCGTATTTACTTTCAGAATACATTTTTAACACCCTAAGTTCCATTCTTAAGGTAGGACTTCATGTTTTATTATATCCTAATCTCCTTTTCTAAATTATAACAAGACCAGTTACAAACCTATTTTGTAAGTTATTCTGTGATGCTTCCCTCAATTAGGAGAATTACCTTTGACTGGATGGGAGATTAGTCAGCTAGGGAAGGCTGAGCTGTCACCACGCTCATTGCTATAAAAGGGGTGTCACATGTGGCCAGGTCCACCCCAAGTTTAATAAATCTAAATTAAGATAGAAATAAAATAAAGTAAAACAAAATAAATAAAACTTCCTGGCTACATAACCTAAAAATAGATGGAGATTCTTTCATCATTGTTCTTTTTTTTTTTTTTTTTTGAGTTGGAGTCTCACTCTGTTGCCCAGACTGGAGTGCAGTGGCCACTCCTGGCCACCCCAGCCTCGCCTGCTGGGCTCTGGTGATCCTTCTGCCTCAGCCTTCCGAGTAGCCGGAATTACAGGCATATGCTACCATGCCCGGCTGATTTTCTTTTTTGATTTATTGTAGAGATGAGGTCTCGAGGGGTCTCGAACCCGTGGGCTCAGGCAATCCACTCACCTCAGCCTCCCAAAGGCGTGGGATTACAGACTGAGCCACCGAGCCCGGCTTATCATTGTTCTTTTACTCTAACACACAGAGATTACCAAGAAAAAAGTTATTTTCACAGATAGTTCTCTAAAAGCATTAAGTGGAACACCATAACACAAGAAAAGGAATTTTTAAAAAGTTCTCAGTTGTTCGTACGTTGATTCATTCAGTATAAATTTGTTTCTTTAAATTTTTGAGTCGTGATCTCATGCTGTTGTTGCCTAGGTTGGAGTGCATTGTCATGACTGCAGCTCACTGAGGCCTCCAACTCCTGGGTGCGGGCAATCCTCCCGCCTGAGCCTCCTAAGTAGCTGGGACCACAGGTGTGGCCACCATGTCTGGCGAATTTTTTAATTTTTTGTAGAGACAAGGTCTCGCTAGGTTTCCCAGTCTGATCTCGAACTATTGGACTCAAGCAATTCTCCTGCCTCAGCCTCCCAAAGGGCTGGGATTACAGGTAAGAGCCACAGTATCCGGCCTAAAAAGAGGCTTAGTGTTTGAGCACCCACTATCTGCAAAGTGTTCTGCTAGTTAAGATGAAGGAACATTACTGTGCACCAGCACACTGCTACATGCCTTCTCTTGTTTTTTTGTGTGTAACTTGCACAAAATGAAACCGCTAATTTTTTAATCTCAATTTAATAAATAATGAAAGAGGAACTGATAGGGTAATCAACATACTTAGTGGCCATTAAACAAGTTTTAAACTTAAATTGAGATTCAAATTCTGGTGTTCTGTAAGACAAGCAATTTTTCTAGAATACCATGTTATTGGCTACAAAGCTAAACCAAACACAAGTCTCCTCTCAAAGTGTTGAAATTCTAATTTACTGTTTCTCAATCCTTTTTATTCCATTACTCACCACAGGTTCGTAATGACAAGAGAATATAATGCCAATAGCAAACATAACTCTCTTCTTTATTCCATATTGATATAATGGATATGCATTTTAACTAAAAAGAAAAGAGGCCAGGTGCAGTACCCATAAACCTAACACTTTGGGAGGCCGAGGTGGGCAAATTGCTTGAGGCTAGGAGTTTAAGACCAGCCTGGGAAACATAGTGAGACTCTGTCTCTACAAAACATAAAAATAAAAAATTAGTCGAGCATGATGGTGCACACCTCTAGTCCTAGCTACTTGGGAGGCTGAGGTGGGAGGATCACTTGAGCCCAGGAGATCAAGGCTGCAGTGAGCTATGATTGCGCCACTGTACTCTAGATGGGGTGACAGAGGGAGACCCTGTCTCTAAAATAAAAAATAAAATAAAATAAAATAAAATATTTCTGGATGTTTAGAGGTTTTACTGTGCAGTCAATGAAGGAAATATAGAGTAAATACATTAAGAAAAAATTTAAACATGTAGCATATGTCTCTGCTTGCTTAGGCGAAATAATAGCTTGTGTTAAATATTGTTTTTTCTTTAAGTCTCGATTCTCAGTACTCCTTAACATATAATCCCCCACTACTTTACTCTGAACACTTTCACCCCCTCTATAAACTATCTCTGGAAATGTCCTCTCTCTACCCTCCAACCTTACGCAAACCTACTCAGCTTTTCCAGGACCAGTTCAAGTTCCACCTGCCTACTCTGATCAGGGCAGATTCTTAGACTTTCCTAGTTTTTACTAAGTGGGACATCCCTTGTTATTAAGCATTTATTATGAGCCGAACGTTGTCCTTTCTAACAGAACGGTGACTAATGGTGAAGTCAGACACATACACGGCGCAAGAAAACATGGCAAGTGTTACAGCAGGGTACGGAGTGAAATATGAGGGGAACGCAGAGTGCAGGGTGGCTAGTTCTGCTTGTGGGAGTCCAAGAACTGTTCAGAGAGGAAGCATGAGTCCACCCGCCCCAACTTCTCTTTCTAAAT